TTTTCTTTGGTGCACTAAATAGTTATGTTCTGATCTTACGGTGGAATGGGAAAATTGTACCTCTTCTGCTCTGCGTGAGCCAGTTACCTGATAATGGAAAATTGTTCAGACATGGGGTGAGTGAACTAAACTATCAAATGCATGTACCCTCTCCTTTGTGAGACTCCTGTTTGTGGGATGCAGACACATCCTGGGAGCTGAGTCCCTGTAAAGGAACAGATTGGGACTGTCTGATCCAAACCAGTCCTGCATCCAGCTGATACTTGGAGCTGAGCTAAAGCAGACCTTGTAGAAGAAGGCGTCCTGCCTTGCTTGAAAGACTTCAGGTGACAGGCACACGTTCCAGTACTGCCAGTTGTGACCACGAGCAGCAGAAGGCTCAGGAATACCAGGTGAAAGTAAAGCCTTCCTTATTTTCAAATCTGCATGGTAAAGCAGAGTTATAGCCATCTGTCTTTTGAACTTGCTGACTTCTAGGCTGGGCATAGTGGACTCAATTTTCATTTTAAAATTTGAGCACAATTAATCTGTGTGACCCTGACACCCCTGTCCCCCTCTGCCGCTCATGGTTTCTTCAGAAAATTGTAATCTTCTGCCAAACATTTTGAGCATGTTTTATGTGCCATTGCAAATCAGAGCCTGATTCTGCAGACATTCCTCAGGCAGAACTCTCTGCTGGCTTCTAGGACGGCAGGATCAGCCCCTCCCTTCCACCCCCATGTGTTATCTCCCCTTTGTGTATGAATGCATGTTCTGACCAATTGGTTTTAATTTTAAGAAAACTTCATTCAAGCAAAATGTGTGTATGAGAAGTTTCCAGCTTGATGTCACTTCAGCTGGATTTTGGTTGGTGTGCTTGCAGCTATGTTAAATCGGTAAAGGCCATGGGCAAGATGGTTCGTACAAACAATTGAAGGTTTCTGCTCTAGGTAACTACTGTCCACTCCACACTGGTGTCATTTTCAGTCTTGGTAATGTGTTTAACCTGAAACGGCATGTATAGTGACTGTCAGGCTCTTTGTTCAAGGAAATTCTTTTGATGCTTTGAATAACTTCAAAGGCCAAATCATTTCAGCATAAGCAAAGGAGATGCACTTCCTAAACTTATTTTTAATGACAGCTCATTCTTTTGTATGTTACCCACTTCTTTTCTGTTCTTATAATTGCTAAACTGCAAATAAGTTGAAGGATTGTAATAAATTTATTGTGTGATACAGAAGGCAGTCTCTAACTTCCTATTTTATCTTGTCTATGTTTTTAAAAATACATGTCTTTATAACACAATTTAATGGTGTAGTTTATCAGTTTAAAATGTCATTTTGCTTATCCAATCTTTTGTATATGGGCACAATAACTTTTTTGTAATTTCCCAATTCAGAATGTAGTATTGCATTACCTTTGAGTTTGTCTGTTTTTGTTGTTGTCCTTTTTGATATAATAAGATACTGAGCTCTACAAATTTTCATGGTACTCTTCTGATTACGTCTTCATAGTGGTAAAAATCTGTATTTTTGTATGTAGGGAAATAGTAGTTTTCTGAACACTAATCTCTGATCAATATAGTATGGAATCATTTGTGAAGGATTTCTTGTTTAATAAATGGACATGTTAAAGTGCTAAAACATTGTCTTCATCTGTAAATGTAATATGGTAATGCAGAACTGAGTGTCATAGTTGTCAACGTACTTATTAGAAAGTGTATTTAATAACCGATGCTTATGAGAGTGCGTCAGACACTTAAAGACATTATGACTGACTTGTGGATAATAGTGAAACAAGGAGACACTCTGGATACAAAAGTTAATGGAAACCCAGTTGTCAGCTGTCTTTGAGACGTTTCATACAGCTGAAAGCACGTGGAGCTGCCTTGTTGAAAGAGTGCTTGGCTGCAGCGGGATCTCTTACGGGAGGTTTGTCTAGTACAGTGTAACGGAGTGAAATGCTGTAGCTTATTGTGATTTGTAGAGTTGCACTTTGAAATGTAAGGAGAGCCCAAGACCGAAATTTTGGAGGAAGTAAGTAACCTGCCCCCACAAGTACTGCTGGGGTTGGAGAGCAACTTGGCAAAAAGATGAATGTTGTCATTATGTGTGCTTTTGGCATGATGAGAGTAATTTGGCTCAGCAGGTGAGAGGTGTTAGGAAGGGAAACTTCTTAGAAAATGTGTTCATTGAATGCTGTGAAAAACTGGGGGAAATTTGGGAGCTGTTTACAAAGTATCTGAAGAAGAGCCTACCATACTCTCTCACCCCAGCATCCACCACAGCCTGCTCTGCTGGATGGAGGATTTGCTGAGGGAGTGCCAAGTGCTTGTGTGATATACTTTTCTTCAAAAAGTATTGCCAAAAAATGATGATAAACTGCTACCAGCTGGTCCAGTTCCAGTTGGCCCACGTGTCTTGCGGGCAGCCTGACACCAGGGTCAGGCTGCCCGCAACACCATCAGGAGCAGTTTGTCGTCTGTACTGAAGTTGTACCCGAGACCCAGTCACAGGCAGGGAGCCCATAATGCTAGATGCTATGTAAATGCAGAACATGGTGAACATGCTGCTGGCATTGTAATCCTTGGTGCTGTTGGTAGTCCTGAGCGATGCCAAGAAGCTGTTGTTAGTTGTTTTGCCTCTGCCCCCTCGCACCCCCAGGGGAAGTGATTGCTCTGTGGTACCCTAGAACAGGCTAAAAGAATATCTGATTTAGTTTGCAATGCATTTCTGTGGAGGCCCAGTTTTATTGAGGTTTAGACCACCCCACAAGGGTAAATACCTTACGTTTCCAGTGACTTTTGAGGCCAGGCCACCAGAAATATACTTTATTAATACCAGATTGCAGGCACTTGCATGTTTTTCATCAGGCTAGGATTTGCATGTCCTGATGCAGCCTACTGTTGTATCCTAGCCCAGGCAAGGTGTGGGTCATTAAATGTAGGCTTTGAAATCAGGGGTTCTCACCAAGGAAAATAATTAAAAGCACAGCTCCCCTCCTTGTTTTGTGGTTTGCAGCTGTCAAGCTTGTGAGTTAATGGATGGTCTAAAAATGCTCTGTACAGAGGTGGTCGTGAGTTCCCTGCCAGGTAACATTCCTGTGCTATCACTTGCCTAGTAATATATTAGAAGACATGAACAAAGCTTCCACTGATGAGAATAAAAGGCTTTTGACAAAAAAGAGTTGAGGCAAAATAGTGAGACAGCCTTCCATCTGGCTGGTAAATGGAGATCTTTTTCTCCCTACCTACATCTTTGATTTTCAGCGAGGAGCGTTAATCATGGGAGTATTATATTGTCCCTATGTAAATTTGCTCTGCAGTTTGCTGTTCCAGATTTTTTTCTTTATTCATCTATTGTATAGTGCTCTGCTGGAGAATTGCTGAAGTCTGAACTAGAGATGGCTGTACTGTGGGGGTAGGTAAAATTATGCCTTTGTTAGCATTCAGGTGCTTTGTAATTTATGGTTATCGTTGTCAGAAAACGGACAAGGTTTAGGCCTGAAAACAATAGCTGTTTGGTTATAACACTGCTGTTGCATTGACTGTTTGAGTAACAGCAAATGTCCTCACATACAGATATTTTCACAGACAATGACCAGCAAGCATTTCCATTAATTTTGGTTGGTTAGTTTAAAAAGATTCTACAGTCAGGAATGATATTAGACAAGTTTTCAGGCATTAAATGCCTCCCCTCAGGTCTGGGAAAGCAGCAGATAAGTTAAAATACCAAGTAGAGCAAGTATTTTAAAAAATCAGGACCTTAGGGTTTGCCATCTGCAAACACTAACAAAAGATATGAACTAGGCCCCAAGTCACAATTAGCTTTAAATTCATGGAATTTGAAAAAAAAAATACATTTCAGGTTTTCTTTATTTGGAATAAATACCTTTTGAAAACCCCAAACCAAGCAGTCATTTTTTTTTTTTCAACACTGAGATACCTAGATAGGACAGATAAGAGCTGATATACTCCAGAAGCTGACCTTTAAAACAAACAAACAAAACAAAACAAAACCCCGACATCATGATGCTAATTTTAAAATTGTGAAGAGGCAACCTGGTTGGCAGCTAGCAAAAACTGGTATCAAATTCACTTTATATGAATCTTCTGTTGACTTACAGACTTGTCAACATGGAAAAAGGCAACACAATTCATTTTATTTAAGGGGAATTTGCAATGGAAAACACCTCCAAAAGGCAATATCATGTCCTTCAGTACTATTAGATTTCAAAGCCCGCAGCCCTTTGCACACCTGCAATAATTACTGGAGAGACTAATGAAATGTAGTGTATGGGCTAGAGGGAAAGTATATGTCCTTGTTAATAGGTGGGCAAGCAGTGTCGTAGTGGTGGGGAGGCATCACTGTCTTCCTGTGTCGTGTGCAGAGTGCCAGGCAATGGGTGGGATTTTCAAAGGAAAACACAAAGCTCAGCTTCTACTAAAGGAGGTTTAATGGCGCCTGCTTTATAAAGGCTCCCATGTGCTTGTTTCCAGCTGTGACATGCATTACATATCAAAATTAAAATTACAAAACAATGTACAAAAATGATACCACAGTTCCACTAATGTCACAGTAAATGCCAGTAAACACGACAGGATAAAGGCTTAAAGAAATGAGTAATTCCACACAGAAGAAGTCCTGAACGAAGCAAAGATTACGTATTGCCTTTGGAAACGAACATTCATTATCGCTGCGTATCCTTTAGAGGTTTGGAATGAGGAACTGTGGAGAAGCAAGAGGCTGCCTTTTGGATACCTCTTTGTTCGGGCAGATCATCCTTTTGACATATGTGTGCACTGCTAGGAAGTGCCTTGCCTGTAGCCAGCTAGCAGCCAGCTGCTAGCCTGCAACTGAAGCGCAAGCGATAGTTTTGTGTCCAGCAAAAAAATGCCTTTCATGTTTTACCACCTTATTCACTCTTCAGGTACCATCTGGTCTTGTGAGGTTTTTTTTTTTTGTTTTGTTTTAAACTACCTGGTCCCAGACTCTGTTAAAATGCCTTAATTTTATATTTAAAAAAAAAAAAAAATTCTTTGAAACAGTTAAAAGCAAATGCTACAAGCAAAAAGTCATTTGGCATAATTGCTTGGGATATGGACTGGCATTCTCTCCAGCTCTGACTATTCCAGGTAGCTTATGTTACCTGTGAAAATAGTCTCCCTTAAGAGAACCCTGTTCATAAATGCAGGGATTTATTCCAGAAATGCTACAGTGGACAAGCTGTGTCCTCTTTCCAAAAAACCTGAGTGGGGAGGGAAAACCAGCTTCACTGCACTAACTGCGAGGCTGGACTTCGCCTCTTCACAGTGGGGAGGGAGTCTTGCCCTCCTAGGTTAGAGCTGTCCTGAGCTTTGCAGAAGACTTCTCTGTGTCGTGTCCTGTACCCCAGCATTCATGGCAGCATGATGGTCAGGAGCTGGGAGCCCAGACGTTCTCAGACCTGGGCTACCCATTGCTCTTGACTGGAGTGCTACTAACAGTACGGATCAAGAAATTAGGCAGCGATGCCTCACTCCAAAGTCCCTGCAGGCTGCTACAATGGCTCTGAGCCAGCCCTGCCTGGACATTCTGCAGTAACCTGGAGCTGTAAACATGCAGACCGTACTGGGGGCTTCTGTGAAGGTGGCAGGAAGGTGAGGTTAGGATGGTGCATCAGCCCCATTTTGGAAAGATGAGAAGGCTGGGAAGTCCCAAGAAAGCAGCTTGGGAAGTCAGCGACTTGTCCCTAGCAAATTCTACAGATGATGGAAAATGTAAGGTCCACTGAGCCAGTATCTGAGCCAAGGCTCAGACTTGCTTTGAGATTTGTTCATGTTTCACATTTCCTGCTGCTTATTTTCTCCTTGTCACATGTAGGCAGCAGAGACGGAGTTAAATGCAGTGTGAAACCCCATGCATTCACTATACCCTACACCACCAGTGCTGGAGATAGGAAAGGTACTGTGACTTCATCTACAAAAATACTGCTTAATCTGACAAAAACCCCAAAACATTAAAAGGCATTTCATGCCTCTTGACTTTGGTATAGCAAGAAAGATTAAAGCTGGAAGTATAAAAGGTTTGGAATAAAGAAAGCATGTTAAAAGATAAGCTCTGTTACAATACTATGTTCCTGTTCACTCAGTAAATTGTAGCGCTGAACAAGGGTAGGCCAAGGAGAGCTGAGATTCATGTTAACACATGGATCTCTGCACCAGGCTGAACTGCTGCAGAATCATCTGTTTCCAAAGAAATTATACCTGCCAGGGGCGTATTCTCCTCCCCACACGTCACTGCACCACTTGCTTTGGTAAGCCTGTAACCAGTGAGGTGAAGAGGGAGAATACTGGTGCCAGAGACCCAAAGCAGAAGGGGAAAACTGTCAGTTGGCAGTGCATTCAGCAAATAGGAAAGTGCTTGGTCCTTCCTTCCCTTAGACACCACAGTCTGTCAATGCTCTGTTCTTCAGTCCGAGTCCGAATCAGAGTTCTCATCTGAAACCAAAGAGGCTGGTGAGAGAGGAAACTGAAAGCTGCATTGCTGCCCTTGCCTGCTGTTTTGACAGTATGCTCCGGCTCTGCTTCTCTAGCAGTGCCCTTGTGTATTACCAACTCCTTAGAACAGTTCACTACTAGAAATTGCCCCCGTTATTTGCATTTCCCTTGGAGAGGCAAATTAACCAGAGTTTATTGCATTTAGCAATGTGCCTTCGCTAGCTCCTACATAGGATTACCAGTGGAGGTCTGTTAAATGAGGCTTAACATAGCATGGTACGTGTCCACAAATTCTTTTGCCTCAGACAAATTCAATTTGACACCTCAAGTGGAAAAAGCTGCAGAGATACCACTAAATGGAGGCTATCATAGCGTCTGTACCGTACTTTGTCAGGCAGGAGCCAGAACAAGGTGGCACCTTAAAGACTCATTCAGAAATCAATAAGCTTTCATAGGCGACAGCTTACTTCATCAGCTGCTGTGAATGGATGAATTGCAGTGTAGCAATCGCATGTGTCTACATGTGATCATCATCTCCCTCACTGTAGCGGTGCGCTGCCTGGGTATAGTGCGCTGCACTCATGGTGCAGTAACCACCCATACTGTGCCATGCTTTAGTACTTCGAAAAAGAAACAATAAAGCAGGGCACTGTAGCAATGTTGCCGTACCCTCTGTTGAGGAGTCTAATCCTCCTAAATACCCTGAATCTGGTAGATTTTGTGGGGAGAAAGCTATGGGTGGATTAGGAAGAGAAAGTCCCATTCTGCATCCAAAGACGCCCCTCATGTTCTAGCACGTGACTGCTTAATGCTGCTCGTAGTAACACACAAATACCAAAAGTAAGTTGTAACTAAAGACCTCATGCTCCAGAACGTGATGTTGCAGCTCAAACAGAAACGGGCAATAACGTTTTATCATAGTGTTTGAGGAGGTTCAGAGCTTTCCAACTTTGGCCTTTTTGTTAAGCTTGGTCCAACTGGTATCTGCTTATACCAGACGTGAATGGTGCAGCCTAGACCCTGAGGTCCATGCAAATCATATCTCCTATATTAATAATAAAGCTTTAACTGGATCCATAGTATAATAAATGGGTGAGAGAGTTACTGATCTATCCTGCTGAGGGACAAAACTTGTCCTTTCCCCAAGTAAAATCAGAGTATTAGAAATGGTGAAGGGAAAGAGAGTGTCCATGAGAACCCTGAAAACATTTTGTGCTAACTTGAGTATTAACTGTTCTGGTATTCAGTGAAGTGCAGAACAACTATCTTGGTTTGTTCAGAGCACAGGTTTCTTATGGAAGGTAAAAAAAAAAAAAACTCCAAATACCAGCAAGACCTAGGCCTTAAGGACAGCCTGCTCATACTTGTTAATGCTGGAAATGTGTTGGCTGTCAGGTTGGTGTGAAACCAAAGGGGGTGTTTTACCTACCTTCTGACTTCTGCGCTTCATTATCGTTGGAAGAATTGCCTTGTTTAAGAAATGTGACCAGGTCGTTAAAGGTAATGTAGAAATCGATGGCAAACACTACTGTGGCTATGAATCCGAATACCTATGGCAGGAGGACACCTTTTTATTAGCAGTTCACATCAGCAGCAAAAATGACAGCAGTTAGTTGACAGAGAGCTGCGAGGGCTCACATAGTACAGTAACAGTTTCGACAAGGGCCACACTCAGTGTTGTGCCACTCCAGATGTTATTCTGAACCACCTTTGCACCTACGAAAGTGTAGGCCCGTGGGAAACCTGCCCAATGACCCCGAGACTGCCTTGTAGAGGCTCCACCTGTACCCACCATCCTGCAGTTGGCACATCTGCTCAGAAGGCATCATCAGAGACCACCTGTGCTGGACTAACTGCTGTTTGCCCTCTGGGCCAGAGGAATGCCCTTTAAACCACCTTTCCATCCTAGCTTTTACCATATTACAAGACCTGCAGCTGCCACAGAATTTGTCTACTGATGGATAAGCAGTGTTGTGTGTCTGGAGCTATCTATTCATAGTCACAGGACACGCAGGCTGGAAAAAGTAGGAGACCTCCTGCAACTGCTTTGCAGCATGAATCCTGCATTCGGTGATGCTCCCCAGCCACAAAAATAGTGACAAAGGTGGAATTAAAATCAACCTTCTTCAATATCCAGTTTGGTCAGGGCTCTGGTTTGGGAGAAGCATCCCAAAATATTTTTAAAAATACTGCATGATTTTAATGTGTATTATTCATGCTGCATTAAATATTTAGTTTTTCTGAGCCTCACATTACAAATGGAGAAAACATGTCTCAGTTCTGACCACACAGTACTGACTCTGAACCCTGTCCAAGGAAGAGCTCTTCAGCCAGGCTGTGTGGTGACGTGGTGTTTAGAGGGGAAAATGGCATAACTTCTGTTTCAACATATCGGTGCCAAATCAGGCAGTAGAGGCACAAGAGGGAAAATATTTGCAGCATGGATCAGATTTGATAAAATACAATGACCTTTTCAGGACTCTCTACAGGAGCGGGTTAAGTATTATTTACATTTTGCAGAGGGATAAATGAAAGCACAATAAGGGACATGCCAGGGGGAGTGGCAACACTGGGAACAGGACCCAGGGTCTGATTCCTAGTCCCTTGTTCTAAATAACAGGTTGTTTTTCCTCACCTGGGACTGATGCTGGGCTTAAATTCATTTTTTGGCAAAACATAGGGGCGGGGAGGTTTCTAAAGTGTGGCCGAGGACAAATCACCAAGTTGCAAGAGTGTAATAACTATACTTACTCCTGCTGCTTTGGATGCTCCATCTGCATATTTTGAGACTGCAGCAATTGAGATGGCAAAATATATAATGGCGGCAGTGACACAGCGCAAGAAATCCTGTAAAAAAAGCCAGATGATGGTAACATGTTAAATTCCTCTTAGAATGATGTTAACATGACAAATGTCATTGGACTTGTGTCTTGGGTCATCTATCACTTCTGTTCTCTCCACATACATCTGTTGTAGTGTAGCAGATGAATCTTTGACTTCCCAGGTATCAAAAAATGAATGAAACTGAAAAAGAAAGTAAATAGGCATGGAGCTGGTAGCTAGATTCTCGGTTGACCCAGGACAAGCCTCACGTGTGAGAAGAGTATGTTATCCTGGCTCAAGCCAGGAGTCTGAGTAATGCTACACCACAGTTTAAAGTAAAGAACATTTCACCTTTGAGACCAAATCAGGAATGTTTTCTTGGTGTCACAGCCATCTCATTATCCTAATGCAACCTGACAGGGCATTGGCAATTGTTGCGAGAGATTTTTCTTCTGTCAGCTGAAATATAACGCACGCACAGCTATTGCAGAAATGATGCTGGAAAACAGCACTTTCACCTGAAATTTCAAAAGACTCTTGTGTTTACAGATGCAATTATAGGCTCTTCGGGGTGGGAGCACTTGCTTTCTATCGGTTCTTGTAACATGCTGGGGAAATGGAGCAGTGTAGTGATGCAAAACAATGATGTGCTATTATGCACAGAGGGCGCAGTGGTATCTTGACCCCTATTCACAATTAGGGTTGTGTCTATTCGGAGCAGATGGGCAACTTAAGGTATTGTTGTAAGACATCCTCCAAGAAACTGAAATCCTTTGAGGTCAAACAGAGGTTGACAATCTGCATTATGAGGCAGGTGTATGTCACTGCACAATAAATGTCCCACTGGCCGTGCCCCCCGCCCCTTGGAAAGTCTCTTACACGGCTCTGTGAAGGACGCTGTAGAGCAGCAAAAGATGATAATTATTTAGAAGGGGCACTCGACGATGGACCTGTGACCACCAGCTCTGCAGCACTTAGATGTTCACAGAGAAAGAAACCACTGCTGTAGTTTCATCCGCTAAGGAGTCTGCCGATATTTAACTCAAATTTCAGCAAGGCCAGTTATCGATATGCTCCGCTGAAAGGGATTCCAAACTGACCTGGATGGGATTCATCGCTTGGTAAAACCTATTTGTGCTGCTAGAGAAATGTTCCCCTTGTTGTGTGTGTTTGGAGCAACAGAGACATCCAGTGGCCAGTGAGAGGCAGGAACCAATAGCTCCTGGAGGCTTCCTCCTGATGGAGACTTGCCTGTTACAGTAATGGTGGTTTGGTTGACACAGATTAGGGCTTGACTGGCACCTGGCTTCCTCCTAACAGGCCATCGTGGGTTTGCCTCTAGAAGGGGTCAGCTGTGTTACTCTGAAGGCAGGGCAGGATGAGACCTTACAGCAGTGGTGCTCAACCTGTTTGCCACAGTAGGCCACACTTGCAGCTCTCAATGTGTTATGTGGGCTGCACCCCCACAACTTACAGCCTGTGTGTCCGTTAAAACTGTTTTGTATCTGCTATCTGACAGTAATGCAATGAAAATCAATATGCTGTAATACCTCTCATTTCTTTACTTAATGTCTTTACTTCCTTTTTTAACAGGATGTCAGCAGTGTGCTGATTGGGTTGCATGCTGCCCATGGGTTGAGAACCACTGCCTTAGAAACTCAGAGCTTTTGTAGGCAGCTCTTTCCCATGCTGTACGTCTGATGACATGTTGCCTATAAAGACCTCCTGTGCCAGTTAGTCCCCCCCCACTACCCTCTGCCTTACTGTGTGTCTGTGCTCACACAGTGCACCACACTGGAAAATCTCAAAGTACATTAGCAAGGCAGTGATACTACCATCACTTTCCAGAGTGTGAGGAAACTGAGGCACAGCACTGAAGGGCTGCATTCGCAACACCACGCAGCGCTGGCCTGGAAGTCAGAGCTGTGGATAATTGAGCTCCAAGTAACATGTCCAGATTGGGAGTAGAGCCGAGGCCTGTGCTCTCACTGAACTGTTGCTCCCTAGAGAGAGAGTCAGCTAAGATCTTGTAGAAAGCCCGTTGTACTTTGAAGTGACAGCCTGTCCTTGGACTGAAAGGCACTACGCAAAAGAAGTTTGTAATAATGAGGTCAAGTAGCTAATGATAAGCCTAGAATACAGTTCTCTCTCTTTTATCATCTCTTCTCAAACTGCACAATTGAAGTTGTGTGTGTCTTTTGCATCCCACTTACCGACAAAGGCCAGCAGATTCCTTTGAACTTCTCATTAAGCTTAGAGGCATAGGCAAAGAAAAGGAACACTGCCATTAGAAACTCTAAGAGCGGTACCATCATGAAAGCTGCAGCTGAAGATGCAATATAGCAGATGAAGGTGATAAATGACAGCACCTGGAGTAAAAGGGAAAACATGGATAATTAGTCATGTGGCACAGCAGAGACCACCCGGGGCTCTCCGTGGGGCTGTGACTGAAAGACACCAAAGGACTATTCCCCAATCCAGCACATGTCACTCTGCATTTCCCCGGGGCCTCCCACTTAGACTGGCATAAATCTAGTACAGTGTCATTTGTTGTGATCTGTCTGATTTACTCATGTGTCTGATTGATGCATCAGGATTTACCCCCATCTAAATTCCTTAATAGGCCCTGACGGGTAAACAAATCTGGCAACATAATTATGGCACCAGAGCAACGCTGCCAGAAAGTGAATACATTAAGTGTAAGCTTTCAAACCGGGGCAGTTCCCATCTGAAATTCAAGTCAGTGCTCTGACAACCCAAAGAAACTTAACATTTCTAATTTTGTCAGTTAAAAGGGAAAAATAGCTTTTATTCTGTTGATGGATAGGAAAAGTCTTGAGGATTGCTAACAGTCAAAGATTTGGGTTCTTGTTTTTCTTGCAATGTGAACTCCTTTGCTTTGGTAACGGACTTGAGTATCCTTAAGGAAGGAGAAAGTGAAGAGATGGATAAAAAGAGCATACTCTGTGGTAGCTATGTATTATTCCCTCCCCCACCAACACCGACACCTCCAAAATAAAAAAAATGATGTTTTATTTAGCAACTCTCTTACTGAAACGAAAGGCACCACTGTTATGGCTCGGAAAGGAAAGCTCTACAGCAGAGACATGGCAAAAGAAGAAAACAGTCTGAATCAGACACTCAGCCGCTAGGGTAGGGTTGAGACTGCTGGGCTGGACTCGTGTAGCCCGTTATCCTTGGAAGAAGGAGACGAGAAACTGAGGCAGACCTTCCTAAGGTTTTACTGAGAGCTGGTGACTGAGCCAAAAATGGCACCCAGTCCTGGTCCCCTAAATTTTCCTCCCTGTTTTCAAATGCTCCCTCCTTTGCAAAAAGGGGGAGACGGCAAGGCTCTGAATGTCTGAGAACAGTGCGTGTAATGAGAACAATGCGTCTTGGGGAGGGCGGGGAGTCGGTCAGTGTGCTAGAAAAGAGGATTTGAGAAGCTTAAATTAGCTGTGGAGAGGGCTACCATCAGAGCGCAGTGACAGGATGCTGACTGGGGAATGGCATAAAGGAACAGCATTTAACAAGACCTGCAACGTAAGCAGCAAGCCCACAATTGATCCGTCTGCTTCAGCCCCCGGTTGAATTATAGCGCAGGCGCGGGAGGCACTTCAGCCAGAAGACTGTGCGAGGGTTCATCTTAGTGGGGGAAGCAGGGCTTGATTGCTCTTGCTCCTGCTCATTTCCGTCCAGACTTCTGGAACACACAGTAGCAAAGACTTAGAAAAAGAGAAGCCCTGGTGAGTACTGAATAACGCTCGCTTCCTTTTTCCCATGCTGCCCTTGGACCATTTCATTTTGTTTTGTCAAGTGGGGCTCAGTTGGCTCCTTTCAAGAAACAAACGGGCAACTTTCCCTTTGCTTGGATTTGTGCAGTTCTGAGCCGATGAAGATCAAGGGCCGAGCATATTAGCTTGGGGCATGGTTTGGACAGGTGCTGGGGTTTTCAAGCTGAAGCTCTCTGCAAGAAACCAAGTGAGGAGAGATCAGGATGCAGACGGCCCCAGAAGAATTGGGAAAGCCATGCTGGAAAGGCTGCGAAGTGAGAGAAGGGAGGTGAGAGTGTGAAGATCCCTGCCCGCACGTGCGCTGGCAGAGGAGCAGACCGAGGGCCTGGCGTGGCGCAGGATCTCTGCAGCATGGAAACCATTAGCTGAGTGGGAGGGAAAGGATGGAGCCCAGATGAGAATCTGTCATCGCTAAAATGCACTTGTATTTAACACTCGCTCTGAAACCTGGATGACGTCACACCCCACCTCACCTCCTTATTTGTTTTCGGGAGCGTCACCCTGTAGCCTTGTAGAGGCCTTTATGGGCCTCGGCTGCTCATGGTGAGTCTCCACAGCACAGTGAAGGAGCCCGCGTAGGTACAGCTGCATTGCGGAGGCTCTGCATGGGCCAGCTAGTTCTGCCACTCAGCGGACAAGCTCCTCCCTGTGCTAATGCTGCTGTGGTATTCCTGGGGCCCACGCCGCCTGGTTCAGAGCTTGGCTGTCTCTGCAGACCATTATAATTGTGTGTGGCTCCAGCCATGCAGCCCTTCTACCTTGTTCTTCCCCATAGGATCCATACTAGGCAAAACCATTAAAACAATCCACTTCACCCCGATTGTGCTTTGCCCAACATTGCTCAGGGGGCATACGCATCATTTCCTTGTGATTTGTAGATGCTAGGGTCAGAAGGGACCTCAACAGATCATTGGGTCCGACCCCCTGCCTAGGCAGGAAAGAGCACTGGGGTCAGATGACCCCAGCCAGATGCCCATGCAGCCTTCTCTCAAAGACCCCCATGGTAGGGGAGAGCACCACCTCCCTTGGAAGCCCATTCCAAATTTTGGCCACCCTTACCATGAAGAATAATCAAGGCAAAACAGGATAATAGCTACACAAAGTAGAAACAAACTATTTGCAGTTTTGATCTGCCCAAACAGAAGCTGAAATAGGCTTCTGCTGCCTTGTGAAGCAAATAAGTAGCACCCCGAACTCTGGCCTGCTCCCAGACTTCCAAGATGACTTCTTCAAAGAGCAACTGACTGGATAAGCATCTCTTGACGGGTGTGTTTCAAATAAGCTAACAGCATATTAATTAACATTACCTGGTTGTGTGCCAGGCCACAAAGATTTACATGCTAACTTGCATATCCCCTTTTGAGCCGTCTCAAGTGCAAAATCTAAGATCGCTGCTAAGGAGATGTGAGGTAACATCACAGCTATTTCACTGGCTTTCCTTTCCAATGGAATGAAGCACGTGTTTTTCTTCTGTGTTGTTATTTTCCACGCTAAATAGAAATCAAGATATCCATAAATGTATAGATGCTGTATGCTAGGGGCTGGCATTGAACATGCCGTGTTGGGGAGCACATTTGGAACAGAAGAAACTACACCAGGCTTGTAAAGTCAAAGGACAAAATACGGGTTTAAGGAGCTGTTGTTTGAATGGAAATCTTATTAGAAAATGTTGGTTTAATCTCCCCACTGTGATTACACCATGGTACAGTCTTGAAGCCAATTCTAAACACAGGTGACTACAGTCAGCAATTGTCTAATACAAATGGGTCCCAGTTGTGACCTTCCCTTATTGAGCCAAATTCTGTTGCTGCTAAGAAGTTCAGCTGCTGGAGCCCAGTTCGGAGGTGTTTAGAGGCCATCATTGCAAAAATCAGATGGGAGTTCAAATTCTGCAACCTCCTCCTGTATGTGGGAGGTTTCTGACCCTATTTCCAGTGTCAGATTACTGGGGGGTTTGCATGCTTTTTCTTTTTTTGCAATGGACTTTTTTGTAAAGGAGATGCTACTGCTTAAGAGCAGAAAGAAATAGGAAGTGTTTGGACTGGCTCAGTGCATTTGCCGTGGTGAATTTCAGTTCTATGGGTTTGGCTGTCTGCAGCTACATTATGTTTCCTGGAGTGTGCTGTTTAGCAATAATGGAAGCATTGTATCTGGCATATAAAACACTAATTGCTGCTCTGAAAAGTCAGTCAGTACCCTCCAATGCATATGCCTGAAAAGCACGTTAGCTTGAGAGAGAGCAAGCACTAAACAGTTAATCCCACAGAATTGATTCGCTAATTCATTAAACTAACAAACCTTCATGCTGAACTCTAATTGCCTTGCAGACTCTTCCCTCTGTGACCAAAAGTAGAGGAAGCATAAATTGCAATAAAGCAGTAAACTGTCTGCCGTAAATCATGCTCTGCATTTGACATGGTAAGTTTGTTCAGCCTTAGAAAGGAGTGATAACAGTGTGTAAACTTATGATTTACTCCTGGGTCCAGTTCTGCTGGGTGGTGGTTCACCTTCCTGTCCTAGGTAAAATATTCCACTTGATTCTCAGATATTAAAAGAGCTCTTTCCACCTTGGCTTATCCTCCTTAATACCACGGAAGGTGGCATTATTGTCTAATTTGTCTATGAAATCTCTGGCTATTTCTCTGGTGTGCTTATTACGGATACAAGACCTCCAGAAGATGGGTGCTTCAGTAAAGATTAAAGAAAAACACATCACCGGCTGGGCTGAGGACACAAATGACTAGAACTGAGCTCTTTTTGGAGGAAGTTTAAAGGTTCTCTGCAAGCTTAAACATAGACCAAACGTTGCTCAAGTGTGAATCCCAGCAAGACGATCATCAGGGATCCTGTTTTTTTCTGATTAAAAAAAATCCTCAATTTTTTGATTGAAAAAGGAACCCAAAATCCACATTTTTCTGTGATTAAAATGAAACTAATATATAGATCTTACATACATATATATGTGTGTGTGTGTGTAAGTGGCGTTTCATTTTAATCATGGAAAAATGTGGGTTTACTTTTTTTAATCTGAAAATTGGGGATTTTTTTAAAATTAGAGAGAGCCAGGATCCGTGATGATCATGTAACTGGAGAATTCCAGGTTATATTTAGAGTTCCTTCTCCTTCAGTACATGTCACTCTTCAGCCTTGGCCCCAGTCTACCACCCACAACACTCAACTTCTTTTACCGCAGATGTACAGCCCTAAAGCTCACTGTGTGCAGACAGGGGTGTGCTGAGATCCTTACGGCAGGAGGAGATGGTTTGGAGCTGGGAAGACGACAGTATCTTGTCTTGGTGCATCAGAAGTGTGGGGAGCAGTGATATTCCCACATCATAACTCTGGGACGGTCTAGATTCTTAGGAAATTATGTCATAAGAACCCGATACTGGTTGCAGGTCCTTCCTTTGGCATGCCCTTGTGACAAGGTATTTAGCAGAATTTGCAGATTCACTGGAGTCTGATAGGCCGCACCATGAGCACTTCTACTTTCGCCTCAGACTTGCAACTTCTGCATTGTTAATCAAGAACCTTGGTGCCCTTGCCACCCGAGCTCCCTTCTTTGCTGGTGTCAGACGGTTTTCGTGGCTGGAGTTAGGGTTAGACTGTGA